AGAAAATCACGTAACTCCACATTTTCATTAAAATGGTATTTTAGTGGCATCTATTAGATAAAACTGTAACTAATTTATATGCAAGTTACAGAAGTCCTAAAATAAACCGTTAATTTTAAATTTAGAAAAAGAAATATACGTATCTCCAATCGTGGAGGAGCGTCCAGGGAATAATGCCTAACTCCAGAATACAAATCAGTGCCATTGACAAGTATAAGTTATTGCCTAGTTATTTTTTCTGTAAAGCCATTGTTTTCCAAAGTGAAATTTGTTAAAAGTAAGTATGAAAGATTGTATAGTGTGTAAAGTTAAGGTACCATGAATAATTTAAGGTTACTTTTATTAACATAAAGTACAGATTGGAGATACGTAATTTTCCATTAAACAATTTTTTGGCGGTAATGTGGAGATACACCAATACACCTTTAATATGTTTTTCTTTCCTCCTGTAAAATTTTACAACATGGAGTTAAGCAATTTTCTCCTGAAGGCGACGATATCTGAAATTTCATATTCTGATGAAAATATTAATAGTGGTTATTTTATACCACATCATGCTGTTATTAACTTGCCAGTGTCTGACATATTTACTTTTACTTCAAATTTGGCAGAGTCTAATGATGTTTATACTAAACGCATAGTTCTTTCTACTATAGCTCGTTTATTTGATGTATTAGGATTGGTAGCACCAGTCATATTATATGTTAAGCGTGATTGGGATGATAAACTTCCTGAACATATATTACAACGTTTTATAAAATTTAAAAATGAATTACCACGATTGACTGAGTTAAAGATTCCAAGACATTTAGGTATTGTTGATGGGTGTAATGTAAATATTTTAGCTTTTGAAGACGCTAGTATTAAAGCTTATGGCTGTTGTATTTACATGCATGTAACACATTCAAATTTGAATATTTCGGTAAATTTAATTTGTACAAAATCTAAAATTGCACTGTTAAAAACTCTTTCTTTAGCTCGTTTAGATTTATGTGCAGCCTTGTTATTATCTAAATTGGTACGTCATATATTGGATACTTATAGTAATCGATACAAAATTAATAAAATTTTTGCCTTTTCTGACTCAACTATTGCATTATCATGGATACATTCCACCCCTTATCGTGGCAAACATTTGTAGCCAATCGTGTTGGAAAAATTCAGGAGAATTTAGCACCTGCAAATTTTTATCATATTAATGGAATTTAAAATCCAAGTGATTGTGTTTCACGAGGTCTATTACCTTCACAATTAATAAATCATTCATTATGGTGGAATGGTCCTTTATGGGCTAAATTTCCAATATCAGATTGGCCAATTAAGCCATTTGATATTAAAAAATATAAATTGGAGATTCCTGAAATAAAAAAGGAATTAGTTACACTTATTATTAATAAGTTATTAATACATCGTATGAAAATTCAATTATTTATAATCTTTCATTAAGAGTTTCATCTAAATTATTAAATATTGTTGTGTATATTTGAGGTTTATGAAAATAATACAATCAACAAATTTAATTAAGGTGTCTGATTTGGAAATTGCTGAAATAATTATTTTAAAAGAATTACAAAAAATATATTTTAAAAATGAATTTAATAATATTAATAACAAAAATTCCCTTAGTCCCACGTTTAGAAAATTGGATATTTTTCTTGATGATAAAGGGTTAATAAGAATTGGAGGTCGTTTATCAAATGCAAATATTCCTTTTGAAAATCGTCACCCCATTTTACTTTTAGACAGAAATCATATTGTAAATTTGTTGATTGATCATTTTCATTGTTTAAACTGTCATGCATGTCCATATAATAATAATAATAATAATAATAATAATGTCTTTATTAATTACGTATACAAAATACAATAATTAAAAGGCGAAGTCTAGCCAGGCTACTCCACTTAACCCTTACTTAACCTAATACTAAATCTAACTTAACCTAATAAAATAATTAAATCTGTAAAGAAAAATAACATGCCTTAACTTCCTTGCGAAAGCGTTTTTCTGACTGAGACTTAATATTATCATCAATGGCGTTATAAATACAGGGTGCGTTATACGAAAATGATCTCGTGAAGATGGCTGATCGAAATCTTGGTAAGGATAACTTAAATTTATATCTAATATTTAAATCGTGTAGGTTATATCTAAAAGTTAGTTTTTTACGAAGATACAAAGGCGTTGAGGATTTAAGTAAATTGTAAACAAAAACAGACAAATTATATTTAAATAAATTTTCAATTTTTAACCAACCCAAATTATTAATTTTGCTAGAAATTCTGTCATATTTATGAAGGCCAAATACAAACCTGCAGCATGAATTTTGAATTTTTTGAACTCTAGTTTTGTTTATTTGGTCAAGGCATGGGTAATAGAGAATAATCCCATAATTGAGAAACGGTAAAACAAGTGTTTCTACTAACTTTTTCCTTAAGTTATAATTAATAATCTTTTTATTGTTGTATAAAAGTTTAAGTGCCAAATAAGATTTTTTTAAAAGAATTGAAATATATTCTTGAAATCTTAGCTTACAGTCAAAAATAATTCCTAGGTTTTTAGCTGTATTACTAGAAGTAATAGGGTTGTCATCAACTTTCAAGTGAAGTTTAGTTTTTAATTCTTCAGTATATATATTGTTACAAAAGACTAGGTATGTACATTTGGAAGGGTTTAATTTGAGATTGTGAGAGTAAGCGAACTTAGATATAGCTCTTAGATCTTTATTAATATTAATGCTTGCCAAATGAGGGTTTTTCGGATTAAAAGAATACAAAAGTTGGGTATCTTCAGCAAAAGTTTGAATTTTGGAAAAAGAAACTGAACTAAAAATGTCTGATGTATAAATTAAAAACAATAAAGGACCTAAAACAGATCCCTGAGGTACTCCCGACGACACATTGGCAACTCTTGACTTTGAATCGTCAAGCACGACACACTGTCTTCTGCCAGTAAGATAACTAGTAAAAAATTTGAATGAAGTTATATCTAAACCATAATATTTGAGTTTTGCACAGAGAAGTGAATGGTCCAGCGTATCAAATGCTTTTGAAAAATCAAGCAATATAAGCGCACTTGCCAATCCACCGTCCAGAGATGCAAATATGTCGTCAGTTATGTTAGTTAAGACTGTTGTTGTGCTGTGCCCTTTCCTAAAACCAGATTGAAGATCGGAAATAATTTTATTGCTTATAACATAGTTGTAAAGTTGACTGTATACTACCTTTTCCAATACTTTAGATAATGCTGGTAAAATGCTAATGGGGCGAAGATCGCTGAAAGATTTGGGATCATTATTTTTGGCCAAAGGTTGTATTAAAGATAATTTCCACAAGTCCGGAAAGTAACCGTATTGCAAACAACAATTAATTATATGGGTTATAATGGGACATATAGTGGGTAAACAAAGCTTTAACATTTTAGCTGAAATATTGTCTGATCCATAAGCATTGGATTTTAAATTTGATGTTATTTTATATATATCATCCACTGAGGCTAATTTAAAGGAAAATGAAGTATCACAAAATTTTAAAGAGTTGTAGTGATCAACTGTTGCAACACAATTATTGGGTGGACTAAACACAGAAAGAAAAAAATTGTTTATATTTTCTGGATCTCTTAAATTATTAGGAATGGTATTAAAGGAATTTTGTTTAATATTCAACTGTTTAAGAGTTTTCCACAATTTAGATTTATCAGGGTTATTTTGTTGTGTGGTAAGATATGCCATTTTTTCTCTTTTAATAGCCTCAACAATTGTATTCCGTATATTTTTATAGAAATTAAAATCTCTAATATGTTTAGTACATTTAAACTTTTGATGCGCCTTATCACGTTCTTTTATTAGCTGTTTAATAGCATCAGTTATCCAGGGGCAAAAAGGTTTACTTACTCTGGCAGAAGTAAAAGGAGCATGCTTGTTAAAAAGTTCCAAAATGTAACAATTAAATAACTTAATTTTTTCATTTATGTCTAATAAGTAAATAATGTTATTCCATTTAATTGATTGAAGGTCCGCTTTAAATGTCGCAAAACAAAAGTTTTTAAAATTCCTATAAGTAAGAATTTTAGGAGGAGGTTTGGGAAAAGAAAGCTTTAATTCACAAAACACTACTTTGTGGTCTGAAACCATGTCTGCATTTATAGTACCATTTTTACTTACAAGATCTGTATTATTTACATAAATAACATCAATAAGTTTTTGCGAAGTCCTAGTATCACGTGTGGATTCGGATATAACTTGGGATAAATTATATGATGCAAAACATTGGGAAACAGCGTTATCTTTAAAATGATCTACATTGAGATCACCCAATATAATAATATTGTCAAACATAGGAGTAATGTATGACAAAATATTGTCTAAATAATTAACAAATTGATTCAAATTATTTGTGGGCACCCTGTATAAAACACCGACTAAAATTTTAATTTTGTTGATTTTTATCTCAACCCATAGATGTTCAACACCTTCAATGCTATTAAAGTCATTTAATATAAGTTTAAATACTATGTTACTTTTTAGATACAAGCCTACACCACCACCCCTACCATCGCGGTCGTTTCTTAAAATATTGTAATTAGGTATATTAATAACATTGTCCGGTATGCCTTCGTTCAGCCATGTCTCAGAGATGCACATTAGATCTATATTATTGTTAACAGTTATGTTAACAAATTCCTCAAAACCAGTAAAAATTGATCTTAAGTTCAGATGAGCAATTTTAACATTATTAATATTAGTTTTATAAGTCATAATTAATTCTAGTCTTGAGTTGTTGAACTTTATTTAAGTAATATTGACATTGAAGATGATTAACAGTGTGATTAATAGGTAAATTAAGTTTTAGTTTGGAATTAAGGTTTTTACAATTTACACAGCTAAAAGATTGTGCTTCACAGGTTTTTTTATCATGTGCTTCAGAACATTTAGGACAGACAGATATGGGATTCTTACAGTCTTTGATATGGTGACCTATTTTACAACATTTAAAACATTTTGTTAAACTAAAATGTTCTTGAACCATGCACCTTTTCCAAGAAATGTATAATGTACCTTTATCCATAATTGATTTAAATAGAGAAGGAATAACTTCTAGTACCACATTTGTTAGGGATTTACTACTTATTTTAGTTATTAACTTCAAATCATTTTCTGTAAAGTCTAGATTATTGTCTTTTAATAAATTTGATATAAATTTCGAATCATCAACCACTTCATCATCCGTTCCATACACAATAATCCTAGGATTGTATTTTTTAGCTTCAGTAACACTGTAGACATTACCAATCTGTTCATCTAAATTACTCTTCAATTTTTGTAGAGAGTCATTATCCTTACAACTTATAAGCATTCCATTCTTTATAAGTTTGGTATTGACGATATTAATATTAAGAGAGCTGGGATTGATTTTTGATTTTACAGCTTTCTCGATTTGTTTATTTGAAATTGCTTCATCAGCGCACTTTACAAATAAAACAGCTGATTGAGTGTTTACGTTTTTTGCGGCAGTTGCGTACGAATGAACCGAGGTAGAAACTAAACTGTTGACACCTTTTTTGCTAACATTTTTTTGTTGGTTATTTTGTTGCATATAATTCGATTTCAATAAATTGTTAGAAAATTCAATTTCAGATATATATTTACTTAATAGTTCTTTTTCGCGTTGAAGGCATTCTACTTCTTTTGCCAAGATATCCATTTTACCTTGTAGATAGGGGCTGGCATAATTGTTCTGATCTTCACAGCTTTTGCAATAGAAAGCATCTTTTTGAATTTTGATGATCTTAGATATATTATCGAAGCACTTAGAGTGCAACGTAATATCACAATTCACTCCGGAACACTTAACTAAAGCTTTGACATCACTTTTTGAAAGTATTTTTCCACAAAATTTGCACTTATTAAGTTTTTTTTCGGACTCGTCATCCGTATCAACCATCGCGGTTGAGCGCTACTACTACTATATTTGTTGATGTCACTATTAAGGCAAAGATATTGGATTATTTCGGCTAGGAATATAATACGCCAACGAATACGTTTGTGTAATTTTTGTTTTAGAACATTACCAAAATGTTTAACTCCAAAAATGGCTAATTTACCCCCTGCTCGTGTTCAAGAAGCAAAAGCATTTACACATACTGGTGTAGATTATACTGGTCCAATAAATATTACTATGACTAGAAGGCGAGGTATTAAAAGTCAAAAAGCTTATATCTGTTTATTTATTTGTTTTTCAACTAAAGCAATAAATATCGAATTAGCTTTAGATCTTGGTTCTGATATATTTTTAGAAGCTTTTAAACGATTTATTGCAAGAAGGGGTCCTGTTTCATGTTTATATTTAGATAATGCGACAAATTTTATAGGAGCTAAGAGACGTTTGAATGAAATTTATAATTTTTTATATGCAAATGAAACTAAACAATCCTTTCAAAAAGAATTTAATATTAGAAAAATAGAGTGAAAAATGATTCCTCCTTCGGCACCTCATTTTGGAGGTATTTGGGAGGAAAATTTAAAGAGTGTTAAAACGCATTTATATAGAGTTATTGGTAAACAGTTATTATCTTATGAAGAGTTAAATACAATATTAATTCAGATAGAATGTTTACCACTTTGTTTATTAACTGAGAAACCTCATCCAGAGATTTTTACACCTGCGCATTTTTTAATGTCAACGCCTCTTCAGTTTTTACCATTTCTGTCAAATTCTGATCAAACCTTAAAGGGAAGGAAAAAGTTATTAGATAATTTAATTAGATCTTTTTGGAAAAAATAGCATTTGGAATATTTACATACGTTACAATTAAGACAAAAATGGAATACATCTAATAATCCCATAAATATAGGAACAATTGTTTTGATAAAACAGAATAATGTGCCTCCACTTTATTGGCCATTGGGAGTTATAGAACAAGTTTCTCCTGGAAAGGACATAAAAAATATAATAAAATATAATATTAATAATTTATTATATTTATACAATTCAACATAATTTAATATATATATATTGTGACACTAACTTTATTAAAAAAATAAAAATAAAGCGCACTTACCTCGGCAACTCTTATTTGTCGACGCTAGGTCGGGATTCAGGTAAGTATGAACGAAAATCTTGAGTCAAGGGCGCCAGTTGCGACAAACTCAACAGGAAGTCGGGATAAAAATTTCACAATAACACCAGTTTGCAATTTAAATACAATTTAATTAATAAACTTAACCAAAAATTAAAACATTTGTCGCACTGTGCGATGCATACCGCGCGAAGCCTACAGCGCCTGCGTTAGAAGCAACAGCGCATGGCTGGGAATTTCGCAGTGAGAGTTGACAGAACCAAAACAACATAAATAAACGTTTGTTTTACAAAATTCCAACTAAATTAAGGCCCTAACTATTTTAAAAACTTAATCGAATGTCTTTTCCACTAGGTAAGTACTCATTACTTTTAATAATAGGTTAAAAACTATATTTTTTACAGATTTAAGTTAATGGCTTACTTGAAGGTAGTTTCTAGCTGAAACCTTACAAATCCGGCATTCACAAGGCACGGAAACGCTGGGATATTAGTCCACAACTGGCTGGTTACTATATTCCACTCCACAATCAGGTATTGTCGATAAATCCTGGCTATCCAATCAACTTATTTTACATTATTTGTAGATCAATTGTAGCCTTTCAATGGAATCCAAGTTGTATCTAGGACTGGTGTCAATACAACAGTAAACTTGTCCTCACAAAACCAACCGATTCCCAAAAATGTTCACCAAGGAGGCAAATCCAACCAAAAAAAGGCCCACAAGATTTGAGCCTTTTAACACGAATTTAAACAATTGATTACTAAAATATCTTAGATTTTGGGCAATTAATTCACCTTAAGTGTGCCACAAAATCAGATTCACAAATGGCTGACCATATTAGTAAATTTTAGTTTGTTCAGTGGCAGACTGCTTTGTTATACAGTATGTACCGTGAAAAGTTACAATAGCAATTTAAACTTAAATATAAATTATACCTAATTACAATTAAATCTTAACTAAAACACGAAGATTAATTTAGTTACCTATACACATTATACCCTTACTTAAAAAATAAAGCCCAAACACAGGAACTGACTGACTTTCATTTATTTACCAAACTAAATTAAATTCTTAAAAAAACAGACTGTTACATTCCCCTTCTTCCCATTAAAAGAAAATGTAAAGGCATTTCATTTTCTTAAAATTATAATTACTTAATCCCAAAAATAAAAATGTTTCAAAACGCAATGCTTAAGATAATTCTATTTCAAAAAATACACAACTTACTGGTTGCAAGAAATTTAATCCTTCTAATTACCAAGTCAGGTAAGTAAATTAATTAATCAAATTAATTATAAATGTCAAACGTGTCAATTACATTTAAACTTTTGGTAAAACTACCAATTAATCAAATTAAATGAACTAACGTCGCTAATCGGGTGGTTTGTCTCTTACGAATTCTTACGTACTGGGGTTTCTCTCGTCACGTTCGGGGTTAAATTTGTCTCAATTCGGGTTTCTGCAGAATTTTTTGTCAAAATAGGGAAAAAACAGCACAACATTAAGAAAAAACACTCATACAACTTTCGCATCACATTCAATCTTACTTTCACACTTTAATCAAAATTACTTATTCCTCGTCGGTATTTACGGACTCATCAGATTCGGCTGAATCATCCAGATTAATGTCAAGATAGGGTTTAAGATCTTTTGTATGCCACCTGCCCACATCGTGACCATGCTCATCAGACAAACGATATATTAACGGAGAAACAACTTCTGTTATCGAACACAAAATCCATCGACATGCTAACTTTGAGGAAAAATTATTCTGCCCAGAGGACAAAACATGGTGACGTTTCCAAACGCGGTCTCCTAGGACATATTGAGGTGCTGGTCGTTTGCGAAGATTATAATAATGACCATAATGGTTGTAGGCGTCCCTTGAATGACGCTGAACATCTAGATAAACCTGTGGAAGTTGAGCTAACATTTGGGCATACTCGTCCCTATCAAATTGATTTAAATCCAAATCCCTTAGATTTACTGTCCCATAATAATCACCCGTGATAGGCACATGACGACCGAAATTCAAATAATTGGGCGCATACCCTGTAGATTCGTGTACGGCGCTACGAATGGCATAACCAATTTTTGACAGTTCCCGATCCCAGTTCTTGTGATTTATCTCGTCAATATAGGAACGAATTGCAGTCCCAACCACGCGGTTTACACGCTCCACCTGATTGACTTGCGGATGATACTTCGCATTATAAAACAATTTAACGCCATAGTTTTCGGCAAATTGTTGAAAACTACGAGAGGTAAACTGTGTACCATTATCCAAACACAAGACTTGAGGGGTACCATATATTAGAAATATCTCGTTCTCCAAGAACTTGATTATAGTATTCCCATTTGCCTCTCTCATGGGGTGCAACAACACAAACTTAGAGAAGTAATCACTAACAGTCAAAATGTACACAAACCCCCGATTAGACTTGGGTAAAGGCCCAACAATGTCAACAGAGATAGTTTGCCAGGGAAAGCAAACTTTCTTTGGAGTTCCAATATGTCCTGGACGAGCAGTATTGTTTGCTTTTTGAGCAGCACACACACGACAATTTTGTACGTATTTCCTCACATAACTTTTCATTTTCGGCCAATAATAAAAATCTCGTACTCTACACAGGGTTTTATAAATACCAAAGTGTGCAGCAGTGGCTTCGTCATGACAAGATTGTAAGACCGGCGATCGATAATGTTTAGGGGTAACTAATTTCCATTCGGGAACATTATTCTCGAACAATAACTCAGAAGCAACATGCTTAAACAGGAGACCATCTCTAATAACCCAGTCAGGAAAATTATCCGGGTGATCCGTCACATTTTGGAGCATTCTTTGATACCAAGTATCAGTTATACAATTACCAATTTCAAAATTAAGAACACAAATATTTAAAGGGGCTCTTGACAACGCATCAGGAACAATATGCGACGTACCCTTGCGATGCTCAATGTCCATTTGAACTGCTGTAGCCGAACGGCCCAACGAGCTAGACGACCCGATGGTGATTTAAGGTTTTGCAGCCACAATAGGCTCGAATGATCAGTGATTACCTTAAACTTAACACCTTCAACATAGCAACGAAATTTTTCAATACCAAACAATAAACCGAGCAGCTCCTTTTCAGTGACACTATAATTTTTTTCAGCCGGAAGTAGAGTTCGACTGGCATACGCAATTACAATTTCCTTACCATCTTCATCCAGTTGAGTTAAGCAACAACCCAATCCTAAATTGCTCGCATCACATTGAATGGTAAACTGTTTATCAAAATCTGGGCTGGCGAGAATGGGAGCAGAAACCAAGGCTCTCTTTAGTTCAACAAAACATTCACTAGCCTCATCAGTCCAGGTAAGTTTTTGAGACTTCTTCCTACCTTTGATAAGATTTGTCATCGAAGCAGTAAACATTGAGAAGTTTTTAATAAAACGCCTATACCAACCGCAGACGCCAATGAAGCGCTTAAGTTCTGTGACATAGCCGAAATTTTGAATGGATCAGTTCTCAAACCAAAACGATCGACAATGAATCCTAAATATCGAAGCGAAGGACGACAAAATTCACACTTGTCAAGGTTAAGGGTGAGATTTGCATCCTTGAGCCGTCGATGAACCTCCTCTAAGACTTCCAAATGCTTCTCAATACTAGGAGTGGCGATGATGACATCATCAAGGTACACAAAACAGAAAGGTTCCAAGTCAGGGCCTAAAACGGAGTTCATAAGACGCATTTGAGTTTGGGGAGAATTACACAAGCCAAAGGGC